AAGCCGCAACTCGGAATTCTTAAGGTCACAGGAAAAGAAGAAGATCAAAGAACACATTACACCGACGATCGGAGTCAGACAAGAAAAGATTGAACAGCAATTGGACAGAACTGAAAACAAAGGTCCAGGACAGAGTAGGTTGGAGAATGCTGGTCGGTGGCCTATGCTCAATCAGGGATAACTGGCAAGTGATTAATTAGTACTAGACTAGACTCAGTGATAATGACAATATGGTGTATCTTTGATCGATGCTAAATCTGTTAAAATTAACTGAATAACAATTCTTTACTCGCATTTCGTTCTTTCTGAAATTCTTACAGAAATTGATTTTTTGTATATTTCCTCAAAGATTGGAACGATCATCATTCTTTAGTATATACGATTAAATACAACTTGACGACACTGTTATATCATGGTTAAGAACTTAAAAGAAACACATAATACCAGTTACTACTACTCTGTAAATAACATCACTTCCTGCTTCGTTAAAATCCTCCCTTTTTTAAGTGCTATGCACTTTAGTGAAATGTTCCACCTAAGTCTAGTATGTTGCATTTCACCTAGATCAACTGCTTTTTACAGAGAATTATATTAGTGCGGTTAAAAATTTAACTTTGATCTGTACACCTACTCATTTGTGTACAGCTTAGTGTTATTGACGTTTTAAGAATTGAACGAGATTAGATATCACAATAACTTCAATGAGTGATTTTTTAAATAAAATCAAAACATATATATGTCTTTCATCTCGGTTATTGCATCAAAATTAATTGTCAAAATCTAAATCTTGCTTGAATCATTATATTTAATTATATAGACGTGTATATATGCTATTGAATAAATACAACATATCACAGTATGTGTGTTTTAATGAAGTGAAAAATGCATTTATGTGAGATGTTCCAACTTAGCTGAAGAAAGCAATCAAATTGGTACTTATGTTATCTGTATTGATTTTAATAAAAGAAAATAGTGATAATTTAATTCGTTTTATTAGCGAATATGCAATTTAGTGTGTAATTGAAATCGAGGGTACTACTGATAATCTATTATATGCAGTAAAGGTATATGATGATCGATTTATAAAACCTAATCTTGTTAAACATGTAATTCGAATTACTGACCAATTTCATACAAACTAAGAAGGACTTTGGTACAAGTAGAATGAATATAATAGTTAACAAATTGGAATGGTCTGCTATCCGTCCAGTCAACAAGGACGACTCTTAACCAGATCAACAACACAAGGAAAAAAAGAAGAAAGGATATTGGCTGTTATAGTCTACCAATGAATCAATATGCTTACTTCTCATCAGTACTCACTGGGAAATACACTGACCTTAATATAGACATCCGAGTAGTGACTTTAAGTAGAAAAATCTTGCTTATTTATCATAGCTTACCATCTATTGAACTTGGATATTGCACCAATGTCGAGTAAAAATCATGAAATACTGTATGATAGTACTAGACAGAGATAGAAACTCATTGGAAAGGTTTTATCGAACAACGACTATCTACCTAAAAGCGAAATAAAATAATATTGATGAAAAGTTATTATTTTGCTCTGAAATAATTCTAGCGATAAATCTTCAATGATTTAAATAATATCGAACTTGCTAAACAGGAATTTATATCTATTGACTTATTTTCTACTGCTTCATTTGTTAATGTGACCGAACTAAGTGACATTGATTCGTACGGAATATATGCTAAATCTAATTACTCCTTTTGTATTCGAGATAAAATGCTCTTTCTGTATTTCTAAATAATTTAAAATAAGAAGTGTCCTTCAGTACTATTTGAGAACTTTTTCGATAATTTCAAAAACTGAAACAACTTGTAATTAGATCTGCAAAGCCTGAGTACTCGCTCTTAAGTAAAAATTTAGTATTATTTAGTTATAAAGTATGATTTAAGATCAGTCAAGCAATCACCGGATTTGCCAAACTAGTCTGAAAAGCCCAGTGTGTTGAAATACGGACAATATGGCAAATGTCGAACAAGTCAAAGTTAAGCACAAACATACAATGACTCAAACACAAATCCAAATAAATAATCATTAAATTCTCATATAAACCAGTGGTTAGCGTACTCATATAAGTAAGGTTTCTTGGTATCCCATCGCAACATACATAAATTTGTCTTATTTCTAAATTAAAAACCAGGGGAATTAGTTAACATACTTACTGTACAGCCATTCCGTAATTCCCAAAATAATTTATGCCCCACAGTGAGTCACAGTCGCGTTAGCAATTTTGCTGGACCTTATTTCTTCTCCTACTGACCTGCCTGCTGAAATACACGCCTTCATTCTTTAATCCAAATTTTTTATGTATTTTTCTCTTCTTCATGATTTAAGGCACAGAAACCTTTGTTCTTATGAAAACCTATACATAATCTTTATCGAAAATGACTGATTTATTACTTGTGGAGAGATTAAAAATCTCTTTTCTACTAGAAATAGGCGCTCTTGGCAATCAGACTATGCAATTCAAGAAAATCATCACCACTAAAAGGATCCACTAAAGTTTTAAATTTTTTCTCATCATTATTTAATAAAAAGAGAACGAAGTTTCACTAGAATAATGCACCTGAGCTACAAATTGTTTTCACCATCTGTAAATCGCTTATCTTTTAGTTCAAAGTCAAGTGTGCAGATTCTTTGGCATTGATTGATTAGCACAATCTCATTTATTTCAGCTTAACACTTGAACCTTTCATAATTTTTAATATTTAACTAATTTATATTTTAAAAAATCAATAGCGATATAAGTAATCAGTTTGATTTGTACTGCACAAAAAATGTTGCTGATAAAATTTTTTTTCATCATTAATTAAGACAGTGCAAAAAATAATTTGCTAAATTAATTGTAACTAACCTCTAAAAATGGAATAATAATTATAGAAGAGTGTTTTAATATTAAAATGATTCATTTCTTTTTTTATGGTTAAAACAGAATTAACAATGATCTATAAAGAGAAATCAGTTTCTATAATCTTGAGGAAAACAGTTGAAATAATTGAAAAAATTATTCAACTTAATTATGGACTTTTTTAATGTATTTTATTACACATAATAAACAAACCAGAAATAAACTTGTCCAAAAGAGAAATCGAAGAGCAAAATCTTTACATCTTAACATCTTCAAATTCAACAGTCTCACTAGTGTGTTGTACAGTCTTTTTGTCCTACAAACCAGAATATATAAAAGTGAAGTTTATTCTACAAGTTGAATGTTATCAAGATTTGGTAAAATAAAAATTAGCTTTAAAAAAATCTTCACGATAATACTAATAATCACAAGATTTTTTATCATACTAACTGTGTAAACAAGAGTAATAGTGAATTGTTTATTTTTATTCAGTCACTAAAATAACATCTGCTGAATAATTTCTTTAGATTATAAATAAGCCACTTTAACAGTTTCCGATATATTAGCGAATGAAGATGTACAACATTGCTGCTTTTGTTATCAGGCAAATTTATATATATGATGGATTTTTAAGCAGTTTGCAACGTTGTCGTCAGTGGATTTCAATAATTAAAACCTATGCGATGAATATACTACAATATCCTGAAATACATTTAGAAAGTTTAATTTTCATTAATTCAGAAATAGTACTTAATTACTGTTTAAATTATAAAATTGCAACTCAGTCAATAAATATTAGATCATGTCATAGTTCGCAATTTTTGTAACAAAAAAAACAAAAACAACCAGGGATGAATATGTGATTGACAAAATGGGTTTTCAACTTTCACATGACTAGTTAAATATTAAAACTCATAAAACTACTAGGTTACAGCTGGATCATTTATGGGAAAAACTTATCAGTCAACTTGTTTTGAATATGACTTTTTGATTCTATAAAGATGGGACACAAAACTACTTCAAATTTCTAATGATGTCGTGTAATAACACATCTGTTAGACAATGTTCATCATAGAAACTAGATATATACTTCAGATTTCCAAGTGATTTCCTTTTTATTCAGCTGAATACAGTTAAAATAAATCAGTAAGTAATACACAGTCGTTTCAATCATTCCTTACAACTACAATTTAGAATATTAGTTTCATTTTTTTGATGAAAAAAATTAGACTGTTCCAAATTATGAGAAAGCCAGGAAATTTGAAAAATTTCATGTTTAATTTTCAATGATTATTTTTTTTATTTTTATATGTTTGACACAATTATCATTCATATTTGAATAATTTTTGTAAAACTACATAATATTACTTTTCACTTAACAAAATACTCTCATTCATTGTTCTATCACATGAATTTGAAGGTAACTTTACAGATATTAAGTTTCTAGAGTATATAACAAATTACTTAAGAATTAACATATAAATTATGCCACTTTGTACCTACTCACATATGTTCCTCGCTGGCATCAATTTACAAAAAGTTCAATAGAATAAATAGTAAGCGGACAACTTAGTTGATTATCAAACTTGAATTTATTGCTGACATAAAATGGAGACTGTGAGTCATTGAAAGCCGGTTGAAATTGAAAATGAAGATCATAAAATATCGTCCTAACGACTGAGTAATATGATGCTGTGACCTAGACTTCAAGATTATGAACTCGTTCACTGACCCAAACAAATATTTAGTGTAATTTTCTTGTTGTTTAGTATCATTTACTAGTTCAAATTATATCCAAATTGCTTTTTATACAAACTTTAAAAAATCAGTGAATAAAAAATGAATTCATTTTACTTTTTGAAAGCTGTTAATATATATAATGGAAAGAATTAATTATATTAAACAAAAAGATCTAATAACAAATTAGAAGCATCAATGAAATATAAAATAGTTTGCTTTTAAAATTTAAATTTTTATCTTTACAAACTGATCTTGAATCGTTTAAAAAAGCTATTGATAATTTTAATGCGGATAAAAATGTCTAAGCTAATCCTTATGCATAAGAGTCCTTCTTACAAACATTCATATCACTAATTTCGAAAACAAATTAATCATAAAACTCACCAACTCTGCACGTTTTTGGTAATTGGATAATATTGATACGATTTGTTTAAAAAGATCTTCAATAGAACTATTTCTCAGTGTATTAAATTCTGGGTTTTTAGTATTAATGCTGTTCTTAGCAATACTGTTGTTAGTAGTAGTGGCTGAAGAAATAGTAACAGTAGTACTATCACTGCGTAATTTAGTCAATCCAATAGCTCTAATCAATAAACTCAATAAACATGCTGATCTCCATGGTTCTAATAGTGAATCAGTCTTGATATCCCATGTACCTAATGCATCAAAACTTATTAGTTTCTGTGAAATTGATGATGACATAAAAGAAGTTGATATCGAATTTGATAATGATGCTGAATCGGAAAGTTTCAAAGGGACCAACAATGGCTCAATTATCCACTCCAATTCATTTAATGCTGGGATCGCCTTTAATTGTTTTAAATCTCCGGGTACAGAAGAATAAACATTGAAACTGTCGTGCCCTGATGAACATAAAATGATATTATTATCTGCAGATACATTTGTTTTTATATTTCTATTTAATTCAATGTTATTAATAACACTAGTATCATTTTTTGTAAATGGAAGTTCCAATTTATGATCAGGTATACACCTTGGATCTTTAAATAAATAAACATAACCATGTTTACGTGACCCAAAAAAGACGAGATCACCAGGTCGAAGTTGTTGTCTTTGGAATGTCAATGCATAAGATGGTTTGACCAAGTCATCATTAACATAAATTTCAATATTATTTTGGATAGAATGTAAACTTCTAGGCATCATCATACCACTAGAGTTAACATTAGGATCAATACCCTGATCCCATGGTTCAAGGAATACTAAACTTTGCTTAGAGGATGAATTATTTGACATTTCCAGCACAATATTATAACCTACAACTTTGGCAATAATGCAATCCTCCTCAGATGAATTTATTTCAGATGGTGTAGGATATAGTCGAATATCAACGTGTTTCCCATAACCAATAGTCATATATGATTGCATTGTATTGTCAATGATTAGTTTGGTAATATCATGCAAAAGAACATCACAATTTGGTTGGTTACCGCGTAACAAAAGAAAATAGGGTCCTTGTGGAATTTGTAATCCTCTAAATGTACGACCTCGACGAGAATCTTTGAAAAGTGTAATCCCATTTACAGGTGTACAAGATCTTGATGAATTTAGTGTAGTCTGAGAAACTGAAACGGAATCTCTTAAACTAATCTGTGAACAATTTACACTTCTACTTTCCTTGGCTCCAGTTGTATTATAACCATTATCGACAGGTCTAAGTTCTAATCTCCGGCATAATCCGTAACCTGGACTGGTGTTTTGTAATAATGAGATAATATTTTCATTTAAATCTATTTGACGAGCACTACGTTCAGTGAATGACCATACTGGTGTAGATGATAAATTAAGCGATGAAACTGGTTGGATACGTCCAATAATTTCATATAAACAAAAATCATTACGTGTTCCATATTTTGAATAATAAGTTTCAACTAACTCTTTGACAATTGATCCTGCCGTTGTTGAGCCAATAATTCTGATCGTTTTGAAGTGATCTCCTTTACGTACTCTTTCACAAAACACTTTAAGGAAATGCTTTTTAAAGCCATCGTTTGTAATGATTTGTTCCCAGGATAATTCCATTGGATTTGTAGGATTGCTATTGTCTTTATTATCACTATAATCATTCCTAATGTTGCTACTACTATTATACCATATAGCAGATGATATGTTTTGACGCGATTTCGATGCTGAACGAGATGTACGAAAAATTGACCTTTTCTTCTTTTCTGAGTTTCCCTCATTAGTTAGATTATTATTACCTCGGGGAATTTGTGAGCTCGAACCAAGGTTTGCCACTCTGTTTAACATGATTAAGAAAGTAACTGATCAATTAATAGTTTCAATATCACTGGTTATATCATATGCCCGGAATATTCGAGTATGGTCCCTTGATTTTGATAAAATTCCTCATGTAAGCATTATTTTATGCCATGCTTACAATAAATTTCAATAAATCAGGCGTTACCCAAATCATCCATATATTTATGTGCGTTCTTCTAGTTGAAATGTGATTAAGCAATACAAATCATTCATCCTACGCATTAACATATTTATTTTTAAATATGTATGTATAGTCTTAGGTGTTGCTCTCTCATTGGTTGACAAACACAACAAGAATCGATTTTGTTCATAATCTGTCTGTTCTTACTACTCATAAAACTATACTCCCTTAAGAAATACATATGCAAATATGTCTAGCCACAATTTTTATTTTACTGAAAATCAACTAATTATCCATTTTATAAACTCATAATTAATGTTTGCTCATTCTGACTTGAAGAGACTATTCTGATTTCGAATAGTTGTCACTAGCACAGAATTTTCTTCACATGAAATAATCATTTAAGTGATATATTTGACAACAAGCAAAATTTGCCTATCTTCGCTCTTAAAAATTTATACATTTCAACTCTTCTAGTCATGGTTATTATGGTCAGTATAATAGAAATAATGTATTGTCTAGATAATAATATCTGAGTCGACATTTAAGATAAACAGCTATTAGAAATGTCACTGTATTCATCAACAAAACTCTCACAATTTGATCATGCGAGGAAGTAGTTATTAAGCTAGATATTTAAAATTTTGATAGTTTACTGCAATAGAAAACAATGGTAATGAGTTATGGGAATATTAGGGATTAAGAGAATACAAGTTCTACATGCCCTACATTTCCACTGAGGTTTAGTTACACTAAAAGTTACATATGAATCATCATCGATATCATTCAGTATGTCTAGTTTGATATTTTTAAAATATACGTTTACATGAATTTAGCGATTAACACTATTCTCAAACAGAATTAATGCATCAACGAGCGATGTTTTGTGATGTAGAAGTAGGCCAGGAGAAAGTTACGGGCAGTCAGACCAAAACATAGCACAAATCCACGTAGTCATTGACAACTGGACCGAGCCATGTTGGTAAATGTAGACTATCCGGTTGGGGACCGAGAGACAATAATAACCGATAGTTAGAGACTTTGAATGAAATGGTTCAAAATCGTTGGCGATGACGCAGGTGCATCCACTGCTTGCCTTCTCTTAAGTTCTAAACTTTTGGATTCCTCAAGACCTTCTTTCTCTCCAAATTTATTCAACTGGGATATACTTCTCGAATCATATCTTCGATCCGTAATCTTTGCCATTATCGCTAATACTTCTAATATTATGGGATGTGGATTGATAAGTCGATCTCTTTGTGTTAATAGGGTATGCCAACTTGAACTAATGTACATACTTACTAAGTTCTGCGTTGTAACTGACTGACTGATAGTTCTGCATGCCTTAACTTTACAGAACAAAAAAGTTAACATTTAAAATACAAGTGTATCAATGAATCTCAAAGATGATGAATTATTTATATTGCAACATAAGATACCATACTACTTCCGAGTAGAGAAGATATGTCACTGAAAATTCAAAATATAATTATTTGGTCTGATAAACATGACAAATCAATAGACTCTTTTCTAATTTAATGAGTATAGTTATTTTAATCTTATTAATAATTGCATGCTAATAAAATAACAAGGACTAATGTATGTGCTGAATAACAGTTTGCTACTTAACAGCCGGAGAAGACCAAGATGTATGAACTACATCGTCCAGATTAGTGAATTGAAGATAAACTCAAAGGGTTCACTCGACATCACATGATAGTTTTTGCAACTCATCAACCGGAATGAATCGGCGGCTTAATAAGCATAGAGAATAGGTACAAGGACAGTGTTTAATCATGATTAGGACTTTGGACGATTTAGGTTTCACAGCTATTTAAAAGATGGAGTCTATATTTATACAACTTTGTGGGTGAAGTGGTAGTTTCAATCGACACCAAAAGTTTCATAAAAAGTGATTCAAAATCTTTGGTTTCTTTTTATTAAACTAATATTATAGTATGCTACTTCCCACCATAGTTTGCCTACTCGAATTCCGGATCACGTTTGACACTACGGATACAGAAACAAATCTCACTGGCACTACAGTTTCGCAGTAAGTACTGTTTGACTAATATACATTGAATTTAAGTTGTATTTGAACGTTTGTAACACTGTATCATGTGAAACGCTATTTCCTTAAAGCCTGTCAGTATGTTAGCTAACACGTATTTTTGAAAATTACTCGGGCCATCACAATGAATAACGGAGATTAATTGAAACGTCGAAGGATGACATTGGTGACCACGCTGAGTATGAAAATGAAAACCAGGAACAAATAACGTTCATTTGATCCAAATATGACAGTTGTATGGTGATTTTGATTAGAATTGGAATCCAATTACTTGACTTCTGACTGTTCTACTAATTACAGTAATCCTTAGTGTTTGAATTCTGAGGACTGACAGATATCAGAATCTAAGTATTAACTACGACTGACAGTCACGTTCATAGTTTAAGTTGTTCATCCTTTTGTAGCTATTTTTGCAATCCGACATTTTCTGCTTGCTTATACTAAAACCGAAAGAGCTGGTTTAAGTATTGGATACTTATTACTTTAATGCTCTACTGATCGAATTCATTCTATTGATTCGACGGACTACCTTTCATCTGATATTAGTAATAGAAAATGTAGAGAAACTGGAACTGGATTATTGTCGATAAACTTGGGCATGCAAATCTATTAATATTACGTCCAGTGCTTGTGGGTATGATCAAACTACTTCGCAAACCTAATAATCCTACGATTAATTGACTTAATCATTATTTAAAACTGCTGTGGTGGAACGATTTGATTGGCTAGAATGGTTACCCTTTCGTCATTAAAAAGAATCCCGACCGTAGCTGCTACCTTGACGTGGTGGTCGGGCTTGCCTATCGTGATGACCCAACTGAGCTATACTGGCTGGAACATATGTTCCTGCAGGTCCTACCATGCCAGGCTGGTCGATTGGAGAACGATGAGACTAAAAGCAGATTCTCAAGGTCTGAGGGCGAAGTCGTACTGCTGACTGCATAGAGGTGTGACGGCAGTAAGGTGTTTCCCTCGGACAACCAGCATCTGCAGCGATGCTGCCTTCTCACAAGGAAGGAAGGGTTTAAAAAAGGTCGACCCTAAAAATGTCACACCTCCCCTACCTCACGGATTTCCGTCTCCTTGGGTAAGGGTGCCCACCAAGGGCGTTTAAGAGCGGAGCTAATCCTCAAAAAACCTTTCATAAAAAGGCCGTGCGTGATCGGCCTCAAGCAGTTGTCCCTTGGACTCTGCGGTCACGCTCCCAGGTCTCCAAGACCAACACTAATCTATCTTCCTTTTCAGGTCCCTCAAGAAACAACTTTCCACGGTGTGGGCAGCCGGGAAGTGACAACTGCCCTCATACCCGTAACAGCACGAGAGACCAATCTGGTCGAAATCAAATCCTTCCTACATCCCCTAATACCTCTCTTCTCTCCACAACTAACTCCACTCACATTCCCTTATCTCACTGCACCGCTAATGCAAACGATGCGAATTCACGAAACGTCATTCCTGGTCTCTTGAAACCTCGTTCTAGTCTACATGTTGGAGCATTTAATGTACGGACATTGTGTCAAATAGGGCAACAGGCATCATTAGCTAGGACTTTAGAATCTCGTGCCATCGATGTATGCTGCGTCTCGGAAACGCGCATACAGGATCCTAGTAAAATTGTTAATCTGATTTCACCTTGTCGAAATAAAGAAGCAGCTCGATTTACTCTTCGTGTATCTGGAAAGCCTGGTGCTGCTTCCCGGGGTCTTGCTGGCGTAGGCATAGCATTGAGTCGTGGAGCTGAACAATCTCTCATTGACTGGATCCCAGTAGATAGTCGATTGTGCGCTATCCGACTAAACGGGACAGTAAGGACTCGGAAAGATAGGGACACTCGCCGTTGCCTCTTCATCGTATCTGCCTATGCCCCCACTGCCTGCAGTTCAGACGATGTTAAAGATGAGTTTTACAGAAAGCTTTCGGACCTCCTCCAAAAAGTTAGGCACTCTGATCTAGTAATAACGGCTGGTGACTAATGATTCAAGTAGGTAGACTAGGTGAAAAGGAAAGACATCTAGTTGGATGTTATGGTGTCGCGGATCAGAGAACAGACAATGGTGACCGTCTGTTGCAAGTATGCTCAGACAACCGCCTATTCATAGCAAACACTAACTTCAGGCATAAGGAAAAGCATCTGTTGACCTGGCGACCTCCAAAGTCGTCTCAATGTTGTACACAACTAGATCACATCGCCATCAGCCACCGATGGAGGGGTTCGATAGAGGACTGTCGCTCGTTCTGGGGCACATGTTTAGATTCAGATCATGCCCTAGTGCGAGCGCGTATTTGTTTGTATCTTACTGAGCGAAGGAAAGACACCGTCAGAAAGACTCTTAGGGTTTTACTTAATGATAATAAGGCGAAAAATATATTTCAGGAACAACTAGAAAGACAGATGGGCGACAGTTTAAGCGATTCCCACCCGGAGGCACGTTGGAATGATATCAAAAAGGCTGTGGAAACAGCAGTGATATCTGCTAGTAAGGTTGACCATAAGGCTAGAATGAAGCCGTGGATCTCAGTAGCATCCACCAATCTGATGGATGCCCGAAAACTCATCCCACCTAGCTCTGAACATGATGAAGAACGAAGTCAGCTTAAGCGCAGGCTGATAAAAAGCCTGAGCAACGACCGTGAACAGTGGTGGGTGGCGAAAGCGAGAGATCGAAAAGGCAGCGGCGATCGGCAACAGTAGACAACTTTTCCGACTTATCAAGGAAACTGGTATTAGGAATCCTAGTGTAAGTGAGACTATCTCAGAAAATGACGGGACTATTATTTATTCTCAATCCAAGAGACTTGATCGATGGGCAGAACACTTAAGGGATCAGTTCAACTGGCCTCGAGCCACTCTTCAGTTATCCTCAATCTCCAGTCATCCTGAATGGCAAATCGACTTAAGTCCACCTAGCGAACTGTCACCGGAATTCTTTACTTCAAGTGGTGTCCGTCAGGGATGTCCACTCTCTCCATTCTTGTTTAATTTTATCATAGACATGCTCCTAGATATAACATTATCCTCGTCCGACTTTCTAGGAGTAGACCTTTTACCAGGTGGCTCCCTTATTGACTTAGAATATGCCGATGACATAGACCTACTTGGTGAAGACGCTGACAAAATGCAGTCTTCTGACTACCCTAAGCAACAATGCACGCATGTTCGGGATGCGGTTCTCACCCTCGAAATGCAAAACGTTGCTTCAAGATTGGGTTGCATCGGCACCTGAACTAGTGATAGGGAGTGAAGTAGTCGAGCGCGTAGATCGCTTCACTTATCTTGGGAGTCTCATCAGTGCCGATGGCCAGGTGACTGACGAAATCTCAGCTCGGATACAGAAGGCTCGACTCTCTTTTGCCAACCTGCGTCACTTATGGCGTAGGCAAGATATCCGTTTGCTGACTAAAGGACGAGTGTTCTGTGCAGTGGTTTGCTCCGTCTTACTTTATGGCTGTGAAACACGGCCAGTGAGCGATATTCGTAGGTTACTGGTTTTCGATCATAGGTGTCTTCGAAGCATTGCTCGTATATCCTGGGATACCCGAGTGAGATGGGTGCTAGGTAAGAATGGCAGATCAATAGATGAAGTGCTGAAACTTCATCAGTTGAGGTGGTTGGGACATGTGTTGCGTATGCCTAACCACCGACTGCCTCGAAGAGCTTTGTTTTGTAGTGTAGGAGTAGGTTGGAAGAAAGTTACGGGCGGCCAGACCAGAAATCCATGAAGTCATTGACGAGTGGACTTAGCCATGTCGGTAATTGTCAACTACCTGGTTGGGGTCCGCGAGACACAAGTCACCAATGGTTAAAGACCTTGAATGACATGGCTCAAAATCGTTCGCAATGGTGCCGGTGCATTTATTCTTTGTGTTCTCTCAAATCCTAATCTTCTAGATTCGATAACACCTCTTTTTATCTGTCTAAACTTATCTCACTAAATTATACCTCTTGAATAGTATCTTCTAATCCTAACCTCTGCGATTAATTCTAATACCTTTACTAGCTCTTCTAATATTGGATTTGAATTGACAATTACATCTCTGTGCTGATGTGGTATGGCGACATGAACTGAAGTACTTACGTACGAAGTTCTACGTAGCATCTGACTGACTGACTGACATTAAAGAAAATCAGTACAGTTGTCAAGCATATAAAGCTTAGGTTAAACTAAGGATAAAGGGTGAACATACAGATATTTACGACAAGAAAATAACAACTAATCTTGTTAGTCAATAATCTATTACCGTGATGAAAATTAGAGTTAAACAATGGTCACAAATAATCGTAGACTACAAATGAGTTCGCCAGCGATGTTTGCATGTTTCCAAAATGATGGTATACAACACGCTTTTATGATGAAAGCTAATGGATAATTGACCTTACCAGGCATTCACCACCCTAAATGCCTTAGTCTGGCGGAGATTCCACTCTAGAAATGTTCGCATATTAACAAGAGTATGGAGCCACTATCAGGGAAGTATTACGGACCGATTTCTTGAGGTAAGTGTTGACCACGAGGTTGAGGATTATAAGCGAATGTTCGGCGATTAAACCAGGTTCGTGGGTACGACGGATCCACCTAGGGAAGACATTAGTGTATATTGGGCCCAAAGGGGAGATATGGGGTGTGAACCTGACGTTGGTCACCGAATATTATGGTAATGCAGTCCCTAACGTTTCTAAAATCGTGTGCGTTAGACCCGTTTCTCAAAGGCTCGAGGAATGGACACTTAGGAAGACCACCTGCTGTATTTCGGGCACCGGGGAAGTATTCCATCTCATAAAATCGTTGGTTTGGGTAACGTGTAAATATTTAGGCGCCGCTTGGTGTTAATGTTGACGTGCTTAAGTAAATAAACTAAATCGGCATGAAACAACCAAACCTGGTGACTGGAATATCAATATGCCGAATATGCTAAAACCTACCCCATTTATATACTGAAAGAAAATAGGGGTGTGTTAAAGGTTGGTGAGAATAACTACACAGGTCGTATAATATATTTATTGATGAAAAACTGTACAAAACCATTCGAAAGCTACAGTATTCAATTACAAACACAAGTATTTAGCCTCCCAAAAAGTCAGATTACCAGCAAAATGAATGCAGAAAGCAAGGATGAATTCTGCATCCATTGGTCACTGTGAAGCAACTGCTCTTGAATATAATCACCGCACTTTCCGCACCTTCACAGACCAAATGAGGTACAGTTTGTAACCGAAGTATACAGAGAAGCCATGCACCTGAACACATAGAGAGAAAAATATGTAAACCAAAACAATGACGGGGAACTCATAGAAATAGTGTTTAGAGACACGACTTTGGTAATAGGTCATCAGATCAAATGCATTCGTGAAACATCCTATAGCCACTGTGCCAAGACCGAAAACAACAGTTCCAGTTAGGGACACTCGCATTAGCCCAGCTCGGCTTCGTTGTAACGAAATATAGCCAAACAGAGTAGGAAAGATGCTGCCGAAAAACCAAACGTACTCCCACAATTCGCCTTGAGGAAACGGCCACTATCAATAGTTAGAAAGTAGTAATTGCTATTACCTTTTCAACCATAAGCCTTGCTCGAAACCCAAGCCTTAAACATAGTTCCGGCAACAGGCGAGCGAACATGAGTACCCATAACATCAGGTGAAGTAAGTAAACAAATTTGAGGCGACGTTTTAGTAATGGGCTATTAAGAGATTAATGTATCTACAAGTGAACATACCTCTGGCTGTACTGAGCGCAAACACGTTCTCTATGGCGAAAATCTGCACCATCTGTACCTTCAGGTCTATGACCAACCCTGGAAGCCATCGTTAAACCGAAATGAAAGCGTGTAAGCAGTTAGTTCAAAGACTCAGCAGAACTAAAAGTTGATATTATTTACCACTTTGTGGTATGAAGGAAACTAACTAGAAGAAAAAAAGAAAACCATTGATTGATATATGGAGCGCATGAATAATTAATTAACAGTAAATAACGACCTGTAAACAACAATAAAACGAAACTACGTAGCTGTGGACTGTGTCACTGACACGATAAGAAAGCAACGCACTGTTGAAACCGACCGCGCTTTCTTTTATCACATCATGAAACGGCGGGCATTCCATATTTGAAGGCCAATATTTCCAATATCTAAATTTGCTTGCGATCATTGTTCTTTCGGTACGATTCCAGGTGTTTGATAGTGTCCAATTGATGGCAGTCTAACCAAACTAGGTCTAAACAATTGTTATTTATCGATGAATTTGCATGTTCCATGGCTTGAAAGAAAACATTTGTTTCAAGGTAGTAGGGTTTCTGTATACCAGCAGCTGTCACATTAACAGGTTGAAGACCAGTTAGTTGCAATGTGAAGAAGAATAAGGAGAAAATTCTAACGCTGGACGAAGTAAATAACGGATAATTTAGTTTATCAATTGGTAGTGAAGATGGTGAGAGAGAACCGAAGTGTGAGCAAGGAAGAGAAAACAAAGATAAAAAGCGAGATAGATTAGGTTAGTGATCCGTGGAGATGGTAATAATAATAATATGCATTATAATAGTTGGCGCGAATTTTGTTGGTTTCATTAAGATGAACAACAGCTGGCCTAGAATCAATGCAAGTTAATTACATGGCTGTGTATAACAAGAACTGACGAGGTAAATGTGTAATAATCTTCTTGATAGCATTCGCCAGATAATAATTTCACAAGCTACCGTGTAAAAGAACTGTAAGTTTAGGGAACATAAAAGCTCATATTCAAGTAGTGGCATGCGATGCTGAAAAAGAGAAGGCGGCGAGCAGCAGAACGGAAAGTAATGAATCCACAAATTCTTTTATGGATAAAACAGTGAGGATATGGCTACCCAAAGCTTTTTCTGTGTCAAAGTAATGGTTGTGCACATGCATTTTTTATGTTGATGAAGACAAATCATTAGTAGGATAACCGATGTGCAAGTAATCTTATGAATATAAATTATGAAGAACAAGTTTTCGATTCACAGACAGTGATTTGATGTTCCGGTTATTTTTTATTTATTATTTTTAGTACCATTGCATAAGAAGTCACGATTGAGCTCATTAGGAGGGTCTGTGAAAGTAGTGAATTCTTAGCGTTTCACAGAGGGTTGAAAGTGTTCTACAGTATGATATAATCCCCTGCCAAGATTGCTTTATCTTGATTCAGTGCTCTGCAGTCGTCTCAAAAAGAATGCCGAAGGTTGCCATGTATTGTTTACCCATTGTATTCAGTCTACTTTTACTGCAAAATCAGGTATTGTTGGGTAATACTGATGGGTGCTTCAGTACTGAGATATTCCAACATAGTGTGCTTGGTTATACGTTCACTAAGAAAAATACTTCTCAATGTCGTCCAGGTTTATAATCTGTGCAATTCCACCTAGTCGGTTGGTCAAGGGTCTCTTGAGAGATATGCGAGAGACATGCACTGTCGGTGGAAACTAATCAATCAATTTCGCTTGAGCATTTGCTTGACTGAGGTTGGTTTTCGCTAATTTAAAATGGCCGATACCATAGATTCCAAGAGGAAGCTAAGGTGGGATTAAATAAAATGCTCTATGAAATCGGAAAAGTCATTTCCTTTCTGACATTTCTGTAGGTTTTCAGTAATGCCATGGTTTCGAGGTCGTGAAACGAGGTCCAAATCATGAAGATGAGATTCTTCATCCGGACTTGCGATCAGGGAATCATAAAATAAAACTCATACAAAGTTGGAACCTCCAAAATTGCCATTTATCAATTTCTGGAAATTTCAGGCGAAAGGCGTGCCGGATAACTAATGTAGTCAAAATGGAGTGTTGATATCTATATTTAGAATGTCATACGCTTTACCTAAGTTTATTTATGAACAGACAGTTGGATTTTTCATTGTTGCTGTAAAGTTGTGTAAGTAAGGTAATGATTATCGGTCGTATGTGAGTTTCTGATTCACTTGCAATAATCACAAACTGGATGCCAATCGTTGCTATCGATGTGGTGTTTGACAATTAGATAGTCCGTCATGTGAATGGATTCGTTTTTATTCGGTGTTGACTTTTTAAGTGTTAGCCATCACATTTTTTAGAATCCAAGTGCTCTTGTGAACTTGATGTGATGTGCAACGTTGATGAATACATATGGTATTGGTTGTCGAACTTCGGTAAAATAACGGGTCGATAACTATGACTAGAAATATTCTACAGCCCTAGAATAAAACTCCATGAGGAAATGATTCATAATTACCGTCTTCTAACTGTCGACCAGTAGGTTCTGGTGTCACTACCGATGGTTAGTATTGACACGTCCACCACAACAAAAATCAAGTAAACGGATTTGCGTAAATTCACGTTAAAACAGACATGCTTTTTTCCAATGGTGTTGATCAGTTTTTGTGTACAACCTGGAGACTGAAGATTGAGGCGAGTGTATGATCGTTTGCGTTAGAGTTATCCGTTTCGCGCTGTCCGGAAATAGATATTTTTCACTCTCGACTTCTGTGGCAGGTCTGTAGTAGTTAAAAACCAATCTGAAGAATAAGAAGGGGTTTTATGTCAGAGATTTTCAACTTAGTTTTAGTTGATCAAGGTGTTTGTTCAACAAAATAATACTCGAAGTTTTAGTTTCGGCAATCTTCAGACTCAAAATTAATAGAGTATCTATTACCTTCGAACAGTTAGGAGAAACATATGTTTCTGTCTTTTGGACTACTCGCACTCACTACATACATGTGAAAAGTTACGCGTTGAAGGATGTTAGAGATAAGTTTGGTTTTGTGTTGTTAAAGTGCTGTGGTATTTACATGTAAAATTGTAACAAATGTCTACTATAATGTACTAGGAAACACTCATTGAAGACTGGGAAATTCTAGATCGTTCAGATAGTTTAATTTTGAAGCTATGAACTAAGCTTTCTTATGTATGTTTCTCTGGCATACGTTCTGACTTAGTCTGACTTAAGTTGTCTACGACAATACAGAAATCAAGAATTATAAGCGTAAGGTCACACTCACGGACAATTATGGCTGTTCCTAGTAAACAAAAGTGCACGCGAGGAGCATTTGCTATTATTATTCAATGCTAATTTATGCTAGCTTCCGTATAAGCTATTCAGCTGCTTTTGAGTACACTATTGTGTTCTTCAGAAAGGCTCATCCACCGTCTCTAATTTATATGAACGTTCATCAAAAATAAAACCGCCACAACTAGATATCTTTCTGACTACAAAAACAACAATTTAATTTCATCTTTCCGCAACATGAACTTAATTTTCGAGCTCATATATGCCTCATACACTCCTGCAATTTTGTCTTTTTTACTTTAATCCCTAAGGCATCATTATGGCTGCTGTTTTCTTAAAATTTACTGATCAAAACTTTTCAAACTTATACATTTTCATTCTGTTTAACACTAAGATGAACACAATATATCTGGAGGGAGATTTTCCATTTACTTCCTTTCGTTGCATTGACATCATCAGCACTCACTAATAACTAATGTTTGTTTCCGAACAATGTGTTGATTTCTGAATTACTTTCAGCGTTCTACTTGGACCTCTACAGATCAGTTTTTACTTACCACTTCAATCGGGCTGCTATTTACTACTTTCCAGCCATGCTTTAGAAAACATCCATCCCGTAAACATAAAGTCAAACGTGGGAAAAGAACACAATCTAACGATTTTAACAACTCAAGTAGTCCAAAAGTAGATACACACATACGAACTGCCTTAATTCCAGACGTTTTTAATATTTTCTTAGTAAAAGATGATGACAAAACACCGCAAACATAGAAGTGGCAAAAGGCACTTGCTAGTTGGCGTGAGAAATGGTAGTTTTTTCACGTGCTATATAAACCCCAACCTCCGCAAAGTTCCAGAAAATGTGAGTGCCACAAATAATTTCCTTGACTACGTTGCATCAGAAGTGTTTATATAAATGCCACGATCGAACACTGCAACTATACCTAATATGATCGACACCTTACTCAAAAATTGGGTCATATATAAGTTGCTAAATGCATATGACACACTCATCATGTCTGTAAACATTAACTCTATTCAAGAGAGCGAAAAAACATTGCAGCAAACATGCAGCACAGACAAACGAAGAAAAATGTCTGATGACTATCTTGCCAAATAAACGGCCATCCCCATAAGTTTTTCAAAAATATCAACTAATACTATCACATGAATTGAAATCAAGTACAGGAACCAACAAACGGATCATCATACTATACATAAAAGATACATTGAGGATTACAGCACGACTACTAAGACCATATGGAATAGAAGTAGCACGCAAATAAACGAAATCACTTCAATCAATCCTATTTAAACCAAAGGAATAAAACGACAAAAGAAAAAAAACATTGACTTCACTTTTCAGCCAATCAGAAAAATCACGGACAAACTTGGAATCAAGAAATATATCAAAGGGGGGTACACCCAAAATAAAGATACAGAGGACGACAGGTTTAAGATCAATAACAACCAATCAAGATCAAGATCAGCGGCACAATGTACAAGTCATACGTGGAGAAATTCGAATACTTCACTCCTACTTGAAGTTATTCAGAAGAACAGTGAAAGTTCCGCAACCGAAAAATCCAGCTTAGAGAGCGAAACTAGATCACAATCATCCAACTGAGCTACAAAGTTTATCCGCCGACTCTTTGAGCGCGGACAACTGCCATATCTTCCAAGCGGATAAACAACATGGAAAGGAAGGAGGTTCAGTTATCTATGTCCGTTCAAACATTCAGGAATATCGATTTGTGAATGGTGCTATGGATGACTTTGCGTGAGTTAATGTAAATTATGGGCCGAAGGAATGTCT